GGTGGGAGCTCTTGGGGACTCTGGAACATAGGACAGGAGTGAGATAGAGGCCTGCACACTCATCTTGAGACAATTTCTGGAAAAAGGGCCTTTCTCCCCTTTACGCTGGAGAACCTAGCCCAGTATCACAGAGCTGCGGCACTGTGTGTCTGCAGTTGGAGCTAACCGATAGTTCTGGCTGCAGAGCTTGAACGTGACCTGGGGACAGTCTTTTGCAAGGACCTGGCTAAATGCCTCCAGCAGGACTTTGTCCATACTGTAGGTGTCTTTATAAACATGAGTATGCTACTGAGAAGCCTAGCAGCCCAGATGTCTGAGCCTCACTTCTCTCTGGGCAGTGGGTACAGCCATGCTCTCAGGCTTAGGGTTTGGAAGACCATAACTGGGAGGTCTGGGCAGGGAAGAGCTGGCTTGAAGTCTACACTGGGGGTCTGAGGGAGAGGCCATTTTGTTGTGTTTTCACCTTACACTTGAGTTGTCGGGACCTCAGACCTATCTCACCCTCCGTGCCAGCAACCTTGCCCATCCACCCAGCAGGCAGTGGGCCCTTTAGACCAGAGGCCTAAACCTGAGCAGCGGCTCTGCCCATGTAGGTGCTATCTGCAAGTACACTTGAACTTCCACCAGATGAGCCCGGGAAGGAGAAAAGGGCGTGAGAAATGGACACTGGGTTGCATGGCCTCCATTCATGTAAAACAAGCAAAGGCCACCAGCTAGACCCGTGAAACAAGAGTCTCTCCACATTTAGTCCAGCAAAGCTCAGACTGGAACTGTGAGCAACTCAAGCCAGGCTACCTCATCCCAGCCCAGCTCACAGCCAAGCCCAGTTCAGCCAGCCCAAGTTATATTAGCTCATCTTAACCAGACAAGCCCAGTTCAGCCTCATCCCATCCTCGCTCTGCCCATGGTGTTCAGCCTAGCTCAGCCCAGCAAGGCTAACTGAACCCATCCCAGCTCTGTTTAGCCCATCCCAGCCTGACTAAGTTCAGCCCAGCTCAGTTCAGCAAGCTCATCCCAGCCTAGTTCAGTTCATCTCAACCAAGCCCATCTTAGACCAGCTCAGACAGCACAGCTAACCTAGCTCAGCCCAGCTCAGACGAGCTGTTCTAAGGCAGCTCAGTGCAACTCTGTCTAGGTCAGTATATCCTAGGTAAAC